GGTAATGCTGATGGTGATGATGATGGTGATGACGGTGTTGATGATGCTGCTGATGATGACGATGATCGCGATGCTGCTGATGATGATACGGGTAAAGGTGATGATGCGGCTGATGATGCTGACGATGATGGCAATGATGGCAGTGCTCATGATTATGAAGATGGCGGTGATGATGCGAGTGCTAAGGATAGAGGTCATGATGCTGGTGTAATGATGCTGCTGATACGGATGATGTTCGTGATACTGGTGATGATAATGACATAGTGAAGGCGATGACCATGGCGATGCTGACGATAGTGATGGTGACGATGATGATGATCCCCCTCCTGCGGACGACGCGCTCCTCGCACGGCCGTCGCAAGCCGCCGAAGGCCCGCCGCGCCTCCAGGCGCGGCTGCCCTGGCCAGCGCAAATGACGAGGGGGGCGAACATCGCCGCTCCGGTCCCGCGTGGGGGCAGCCCTCACCGCGCCGGCCTCGCCCCCCGCTCAACGCCGTGAGCGGCTGCGCCAGCGCCTGCTGCGCAGCGCCTCGGACCCCCCCCCAGCTTGCCCGGCTTCGTCGGGCGCAGCCCGCGCCGCAGGCGGCGGAGGGCGCCCGCCTGCCTGTCGGACGTCGCGCGGTGAAGGCGCAGCTGTGTCAGGCCCGTGGCCCTCGCCGACGCCGCGCCGCAGCCGCGCGCGTTGCAGAGCGCGCGCGGCCTCTCCACGTAGAGCACGTGCGCGTCGTGGATGTCTGCGCCCCACCGCGGCGGCCTCGGCCGGGGAGGCGCGGCCGCCGCCTGACCGCCGCCTCCAGCAGCCTCTCCGCGGCAGGCGCAGCAGCCGGCGCGCCGCCACGCGCGCGCCCGCGCGTCCGCGGCCGCGGCCCCCGCAGACCAGGCCGTGGGCGGCGGCGGCGGTTGCGGGGCCAAGCTCGGCGGCCTCCCGGCGGGGGGGCCGCGGCGATCCGCGCGCCAAGCGTCCGCCGCGGGGTCTCGCCAGCAGCGCGCGCCTCCTCGTCGCCGCGCCGCGGGCCCTGCGCGCCGCAATCAGCTCTGGGCTTCTGGCGGCGCCCGAGCCGGGCGCGTCGGGTGACATCTGGGCCCCGGGCCGCGCGGTCGTCGGGCGCCCCGAAGGGCCGCGCCAATCCGCGAGGTCGGCTCCAGGGCCAGGTGGTCCGCCGTGTCGATGGGCTCTAGCCGCTCCTTCGGGGCCGCGCGGAGGCTGGCGCCCTCCTGCGCTCGACCGTCGGCCCTGGCGTTTCCCGCGCGCTGCCTGTCGGAGATGCGCTCCTCGCGGACGTCGTGCTCCGCGCAGTGCGCCTGTGCTGGCGCGTCGCCGGCGTCGCCGCCGCCGCGGTCCTCGACGGGCCGCCAGAACTGGCGCCGCAGCTTGCCATTCGCCCTCCGACACGCAGTGCGCCGCCGCTTCTCCGCAATCCATCCGTCGCGGGCCAGGGCCGAATCCGCGCGTAGCCGACGCAGTGCGGGAAGCCCACCGCAGCTGCTTGCAGCTCGCCCGCGCCGCTGCCCCGCGGGAGCGGCCGCGGCGCGTTCCCCCGCGCGGCCGCGCGCTTGGCGTCGTTGGCCCACGTCGTCACTGCGGCCCAACCTGATCGTGCGAGCTGGCAGTCGCGGGCGCGCGCTGCTGAACCATCCGGGAACGCATCTCGCGCCGAGACGTCGCCCGGGTGGCTGCCCGCGCGCCGAATGACGATGGCCGGGAAGGGTTGCGGCGCCTCCGACCTCTGATCAGTCAGGGGCCCCCGCGACCATAGGAGAAGCTCCTCGCCGTTGGAGGCGGTGGCCGCCTCCGCCTCCTGCAGCGCCGCGAAGCCGGGCGACTCCCCGAGCCAGAGGCATCGCGGTCCACCCAGCGCAGGGCAGCGCCGCGCCAAGTGCCGCACAGTGCCCACCTCCTCGCAGCACCACGCGCTGCGAGCCGAGGGCGCGAGCGGCGGGCTGGCCCCCGCGCGCCGCGCGACTGGCCACGAGCAGCCTACCATGGCGTTGCGGGCCAAGCAGCTGCGCGCTGCCACTCGCGCCGAGGCCTTATTCGTCAGGAACTGGCACCGCGCGCTCGCGATGGCGCCGCCGCGGCGGACCGCCTCCAGCTCCGAGCGGTGGCCCGCCATCTCGCGCCACGGCGCCTTGGTTGGCCCCAACTCGACGAAGCCCTCGATGGCGTGGTGCCCGACCTCCATGAGGCCCGCCGCGCGGTCGAGGTCGTCGCGGACTAGCTTGGCGGACGTCATGTGCCATCCCAGCCCGCGGCGCGTCGGCGGCGCAGCGCCCGCTGACCCCGGGGCCGCGAGACCTGCTGGCCCTTGTCCTACTCGACCTCCTTCGCCCCCATGAGCGCGCCCATGGTGGCTCTTCGGTCTGGCGGGCAACTGGCCAGCTACAAGCCCTTGGCCCGGGCGTCCAAGGGCTTGAAGACGTGCCGGAACAGCGGGCCATCGTGCGCCGCGGCCGAGACCAGGGCGCCGAGGGCGACGCCGCGCCCCGCCGCGCGCCCGAAAAAGAAGCATCGCGGCTACCTGGCCCCTCCACCGCTGCATCCTGCTGTCCGACCAGGCCATGGCCTCGCGCCCGACCTCCGTGACCTGTGGCGAGCCGCTCGTTGCCTGCCTGCGCGCGCTGGGGACGCGCGCGCCCCGTGCCTGGGCGACGCGGTAGGACTGCTCCGCCGCCTTGGCGCGGCGCTCCGCAATCGCCGCCGCGGCCCTTGCCGCCGCGCCGTAGTCGACGCGCAGGTCGCCTGCTTCCTCGGCCTGCTTGAGCCGCCCCTGTTCATGACATCCACCAAGGTGTCCCTCAGCCCGCCCGATGAGGCCAACGCCTCCGACTTGGGGCGGGAAACGGCGCAGCCCATATCGGCCTCCAGACCGTGGATGAAGTCGCGGGCCGCGCCGCCAAGGTAGTGGGCCGCGTCCCAGAACGACCCTGCCATGCGCGGCGAGCAGCCTTCGAACGTGATGGCCACGTGCACCTCCTTCCAGCAGCGCCTATGCTCCGCGTCCAACACCATCATCGCACAGCGGGGGATTATGCCCGCGAGGCTGCGGCCCGCGATGAGCACGCTGGCCAGCTCGTAGCAATCTGAGGTAGCGGCCCCGTCGATCACGATGAGCCTGGGCACCGCGTAGACGCGCAGGGCTGCCTGCACCATCTGCTCGGGGTAGCCCGTGCCCAGCGCGCAGTCCTGGGCCGTGGCCAACGAGACCACCTCGTAGGCCATCCAAAACTCCAGCGCGCATCCGATCTCCAGCTGCTGCGCGCGGCTGGCCTCGTTGTGCAGGGCCTGCCGCCAGATGGCTCCCGCCGCAGCTCGGCCCTCCCCCCCTTCAGAAATTTGCTGCTGCCTCGTCGGCGACCCCTGCCCCCCAGGCCTTGGCCTCTGGGAGACAGACCCTGACCTGCCAGCGCGGCAGCCACTTCGGCGCGCCGATGGGCCGCCTCCGCCGCCGTGCAGAGGGAGATGATGACGTCCAGCAAGCCGTCGGAGACGTACTCCAGCTGCCGCGGGTTGAACTGGTCGGCGCCCAAGCCCACGCTCTTGCTGAAGGCCTCGGCGGCCGCGCCCCTCCTCCGCCGAAGGCCTGCGCAGGGGAGGCCCCGTGGGGTGCCGCGCCCGCGCGATTCTGGGCGCCCGCCGCCACTGGTGGGCCTCCGGGCCATCGGGGGGCCGCTGCTGCGATCCCGGCCGCGCCCCGGGGCCGCCGCCGCGACGCCCGCGGGCGAGCGGCAAGCGGCCTGACGGACGCCGGCAGGGAAGATCGCGGATTTTCCGGAAAACCTGGGCTTGCCAGGGGTAGGAAGATAAGGCGCGTTGGCGTGGTCTCCTCAGTCTGCTGGTGCGTCCAGACGTCGCTCGCCCAGTGCTCCGCGACCATGTCGACCCGCTCCTGTCTACCGCCAGGCCCGCCTTGGGTTGCGTTGATCTCGTCTGGCACTCAGCCGCGCGGACTGCGACTGCACTAGTGCGCCTGCTTCGCGCCAACAGCCAGCGACGAGCGAATCCACTCGCAGAGCTCCTTGCGCCGCTGGCACGAGAACGATCAAGTGAGGTTGTCTGCCGCCTTGCGCGTCTCCTCCTCCCACGCTTGGACGATTTCTGGGTGCGTGCCCGGCGGCAGCCTGGCGGGCGCCACGCTGCTTCGAGACGTCCCTGCGCGCCATCGTCGGCTGGCAAGCTATGGCGCCCCTGCGCACCAACGCGAGCTAGTTCGCCACCGCCAGCAGGTGGCTGGCCTCCGCACGTGCGTGACGATGGAGATGAGGCTGAAAACGACGATGGTGATGACGATGATGATGATGATGATGATGATGGTGGTGGTGATGATGATGATGAGGGTGGTAATGGTGATGATGCTGATGGTGACGATAGTGATGGTGATTGTGGTGCTGCTGATGCGACTGATGCTGCTGCTGCTGATCGGGGGGTGATTGTGATAATGCTGCTGTCGTGACGATACTGGCGATGATGTTTATACAACGTTACCGGCGATGACGACGATGATGGTGATGCGGATGACGATGATGATGGCGATGATGCTGATGGCGGTGCTGTTAATGATGATGGCGACGTTGATGATGCTGATCAAAACGGCGATGGCGAGGTTGATGACGATCATGGCGATGCCAACGTTGTGTATGATGCTGCTTCTGACGATGATGCTGATATCGATGGTGTTGGTTATGATGCGAATGATAATTATGCTGCGGATGATCTGAAGGATGGGGATGATGCTGCTGTCATGAACCGATGATGGCCATGACGCAATTGATGGGGATGCTGTAATTATGATGGTGATGATGATGATGATAGTGCTGCTGGCAGTGCAGTTGTTGTTAATGATGATGATCATGGTGATGACAATGATAATGATTATGCTGATCGTGCTTATGATGGTGATGCTGATGATGATGTGGGGGATACATCGGCGCTGCGAAAGTTTTGACCCGTTTTGAGTTTTCAGCTAAACAACGCCTGAGCATCACATTGGTTATGAACACCACGACGGCCGTGAGCATCACTCCAAAGCCTGAGAGCGAGCCCGAAGGTTTCGAATTCTGGTTTGGAGGAAGTCCTGGGCGGGAGCGCCATTTCGAGTTCGAACGGAACAACAGCCGAACCTCATTTTGCAGGAAGTCCTGTGCGGGAGCGCCATTTCGAAATCGAGGCAGAAAGGTTTCGATTTCTATGTGTGAGGAAGTCCATTGCGGGAGCGCCATTCCGAAATCGAAGCAGACAGGTTTCGAATTTGATTTGTGCGGCAGTCCTAGGCGGGAGCGCCATTTCGAAATCGAACCCGAAAGTTTCGAAATCGTTCGAAATCGTTTTTTTCTTTATATATTTTTTCTTCTTCTTTTTTTCTCCAGGGAAATATCAAAAGAAACCGCCGTTTCGAAATGGCCACACCGTTTGGCATTTAACATTTTAAAGCCTGACCCGAAAACTCGAAAATGCAGTTTTTGCTTAAGACTTCCTCCCCAAAACGAGCTCGACTGGATTTCGAAACCCTCGGGCTCGTTTTCAAAACGTGGCTTTCGCCTAGGACTTCCTCCCCAAAACGAGCCCGACTGGATTTCGAAACCCGCGGGCTCGATTTCTAAAGGGGGGTGCCGCCCGAGACTGGAACGAAAAATGCTTCAACCGAGCATTGTTCTGGGGCCCCGCGGCCTAACGGGCCCACTGCCAACGTTGTGCTGGGCCCCCGTCGCCTAACGGGAGGCGTTGAATGTTGGCCGAACTTTCGTAGCAGCGAAGTACTGGAAATCATGCTGCTACTGATGATGATTACCATGACGACGATGACAATGATGGTGATGCGGATGATGGCAGTGACCATGATCATGACTAATGGTCGTGGCGATGGCGATGATGATGACGACGATGATGATGCTGATGATGCTGATGATGATGCTGACGATGACGAGTGATCGCGGTGATGATGGCCGTGATATCGATACTGGTAAGATGACAACGGCCTTGTCGCAGATGCTGAGGATGATGACTGTGATGCTACTGATGATGATTGGACTGCTGATGAAAAGGGTACCTGTGATGATTCTGCTGATGATGATGCCAATGCGGATGGTGAAGACGATGTTGTTCATGATTATGCTGATGATGGTGCTGATGATGATGACAATGATGATGATGCTGGTGATGACGATGATGCTGGTGATGACGATGGTGCTATTCTATAATAGTGACAGCATGGAAAGAGCGTTGGCGTTGATGGTGGGGATGATGCCGCTGCGGTTGTCCATGATGATGGTGCTGCTGATGATGATGCTGATGATGGAAATGACGATGACGAAGATGACGACGATGACGATGTAGATGATGATTACGATGATGATGCTGATGATGCTGATGATAACAATGATGGCGACGACGACGAAGAGAACGATCATGATGACGCTGAACACCAACATGAATAATAACAAGCTGAGGACAATGCTGATTATTAGGACGATGCGGATGATGATGATTATGATGATACTGATGGTGATGATCCTAATGATGATGACGATGACGATGATGATGACGATGATGATGCTGCTGAGGTTGATGATGATAACGCTGCTGCTGATGTTGATAATACTGGCAACGACGACGAAAACACATATCGAGGTCACGCTGAACACCAATATTAAGAACAACGCAATGATGACACCGACGATGATGGCCATCATAATGATGATGATGATGCTGATGATGATGATGCTAATGATGATGATGATGATGATGATGAGGATGATGCTGCTGCTGATGCTGCTGCTGATGATGATGATGATGATGATGATGTAGCGTTGCTGCTGCTGCGGCGGATGAGGATGAGGATGATGGTGATGGTGGTGATGATGATGATGCTGATGATGATTCTGAGGATGATGCTGATGATGGTGATGATGATGATGATGATGATGATAATGATAATGATAATGATGATGATGATGATGATGATGATGATGATGATGATGATGATGATGATGATGATGATTTTGATAAGGACGCTGATGCTGCTGATGATGTCGATGATGATCCGCCGGCCCCCCTTGTGGGGCCACCAGACTGTAGGCCGAAGCTTCGCAGTTTCCTGTGCCAGTTGCAGCTTCCAGTTTCCACTGTTACAATTTTGCTTCTTGCGGCTTACTGTTCCTGGTTGTCTTCTTGCTGCTTACTGTTCCTTGTTGATGGACCGCGCGAAGGGGGGAGGCCCCAAACTGTTGCTCTGAATTGCTGGGGTGGATCAAAATCGACATCCCTCACTCAGATCGGCGGGGTCAGGGTCCAAAAACACATGGGATTTGCCACATTTCTGAAATTTGCGGGCACCCCTCGCGCAGATCGGCGGGGTCAGGGTCCAAAAACACAAAGGATTTGCCACATTTCTGAAATTCGGTGGCACCCCTCACGCAGCTCAGCAGGGTTAGGGTCCAAAAGCATAGGGGATTTGCAACATTTCTGAAATCCGGCGGTACCCGTGACGCAGATTCGTAGGGTCAGGGTCGGAAAACAAACAGGTCCCGACACTGCTTCACGGCGGCGCCCAGACCTCATGATTTAGATTTTGCATCTCCCATTATCCGAAACAATGGGCCAACGGCATGGGGCAAAACCCTTACGGATAAGTGTGGTGGTCGTGGTGGTTGGTGGTGGTTAGGAGCAGGATGACGGGCAGGATGGAGCGGAGGAGGAGGAGGAGAAACAAGAGGATGAAGAGTAGGTCGTACCTGGCGCGCTGTCGGGTGCTGGGGGGACGAGGGGTACGGATACTGAGGGGGAGTAGGAGGCGGGAGGGGAAGGGAGGGAACGGAGGAAAATTATTCTGGCAAGGAGGCCAAAGAGAAGGACGAGGAGTTGATGGTGGTGATGAGGAGAATAAGGACGATGAGGATCGTGAGGGCGATGACGACGACGACGACGAGGTGAAGGGAGAAGACGAGGACGGGGAGGGCCGAATACGACAAGGTTGCGAAGAAGGTGGGGGGAATGAACGCGACGAGAAAGAGACATCGGAAGCGGCCAAAGACGACGAGGACGACGAGGAGGTGGATCAGGGCCCACTTGGCCCTGTCCAGCTGCAGCTGCTCCAGGCCGCACGCAGTGAAGCGGACCTTCGGGCCGCACGGTGACGCGTAGACCCCAGGAGGACTCTTCCTCCTCCCCCTGTCTTTGTATAGCTCTTCGTGGTTACCGATCGCTACTTTAGAATTTGTGTTCATACCTATCATTCTCCCTCCCGTTCTCTCCCTCCTCCTCTTCGCCCATCCTTTGGCTCCTCCTCCTCTCACCCTCCCTTTTTGACGTTGGCCGTACATGATCTAGGCTTTTGCGTTCTTGCAGTGCAGTGAGGCAGCGAAATGAAGGAGCACGCCGACTTAGGCCTGTAGTGCGAACAGTATGAAATAGTAGAGTAACCCTGGCGCCATCTGAGTAACATCGCCTTCTTTTTCATCCTCCTCCTCCTTACAGTTGAACGTAGATCACCTACCAAAGGGCGGGCCCCATCGCCCGACCAAGTTGCGAATTGGGAAGGTGATCGCATGCACTAGGTTGCCGATGATTAACCCTCCCTGGGCCAGGGCAGCTGGCGGCCATTCGTCCACGCGCTCGCGCGCCATGCCGGTAATGCGCGACGACATGTAGGTCGCCCGGCGAAGATCGTCGAGGTCCGAGTTCGGATCATCACCTCGCGCACCCGCTTCTGGAAAAGGCACGCGAGCCTGGTGCTGGGGCCCACAAGTGCGGAAGTGGCGCCTGTTGCCGCTGCCGCCGCATGCGTCCACGCAAACGACGCAGCCTGCGATGGCACGCGTGCCGACCCCGATGGTCTTCCATCTTGAGTGTGCCTCCCCCCGCCGGTCGTAGAGGTGCTGGGGGCCGGGGATCATGAGTCGCCGAGAATACTTGCCCCGGATGCGTTCCTCCTCGTCAGCGCATTGGCCGTCTGTTTTGTCTGTTGCGTCACTCCTGTGCTCGCGGTGATCGGGGCATCCCGCGAAACACTCACGTGAACGCTCTTCGTACCTCGTGTGGTCACTGTGCTGACCACTGCCAAGTCCACGACCGGAAAAGGTGTGCATCAGACAGATGCCTCTGCTCTGCTTGCTGCTCCCAGGGCTCTCGAAACACAGTCCCAAGAGGCTCAGGACCTTGTGCTGACACCGCAGATGTGGGCGTTGTGTCGAGCAGCTGTCTAACACCCGAGGCCACCCCACGGGTGGGGGCACTGACAATGTGGGGTCCGCGAGCTGCCTGGGCACAATCCAAGCATGCCCGGGATGGATCGCAGAGCGGTCCTTGTAGATCTTAATGATGTTGTCCTTTGTGAAGTACTGGTTGTGCACGTTCTCGGTCGCAAGTCTTGGCGGATGGGTGGATGCGCTGGCGGAACCTAGAATCACGTATCCTGCCACAGTTAGCGGGAAGAGGTGCTCGAAGGCGATGATGTTGAATGCGGATGTAGAGCGTGATGTAGAGCGACATGTAGAACGGCACGGCGTAGTGTTCCTTCGGATGGGTTGGTCCAGCCCGGACGTGCCCATGAATGATTGACGTCTCCTGCAGGCGTCGCGATGCAGGAACCATTGCCATCGAAACGAGGCGGGACATGGCGGCCATGGTATCGGAGAGTGGGCGAACGTGCTCCGCTACCAACTAGAAATGGGAGTGTAGAACAATGAAAGATGTTCTGTTTCCGGAAAACCGATGTATAGCGTGTAAAACGAGTATGACGATGTAGAGCGCGTAATAAAGCACGTGACCTTTGCTATCCACAAAAGGCAGCGGCAAAGACAGGGTGAGAAGAAAGCAAGGCAAGAGGACATACCGTTAGAGCATACACAAGAGAAGAACCACAAAGAGGAACGCAACGAAATGGAGAATGAGGCGGAAGAGGGGGAGGGGGAAAAGTAGGAGGAGGAACAGGAGGAGGAGAACCGGAGGAGCAAAACACCGAGGAGGAGAAGCAGGAGAAGCGGAGGATGAGGAGCGGAAGAGCACGAGGAGAAGGTGGTGGAGGAGGGATAAGAGGAGGAGAAGGAAAAGGAGGAGGACAGGAGGACACATGGGAGGAGGAGGAGGAGGAGGAGGAGGAGGAGAAGGAGGAGGAGGAGGAGGAGGAGGAAGAGGAGGAGGAGGTGGAGGAGGAGGAGGAGGGGGAGTAGGGATAAGAGTAGGAGTAGGAGTAAGAGTAGGAGTAGAAGGAGGAGGACGAGGAGGAGGAGGAGGAGAAGGAGGAAGAAAAGGAGGAGGACGAGGAGGAGCAGGAGGAGGAAGAGGATACTGAGGAGAAACAAAAATAAGGACGGGCGGAGGAGAACGGAGGAGGAGGATCGGAGGAGAACGAGGAGGAGGTGGAGGATGAGGAGAAGGAGGAGGAGGAGGACAATGAGGAGAAAAGGGGCTGAGGAGAAAAAGGAGGAGTAGGAGGACCAATGTGAACCCAAGACTCATCAACGCGGTTGGAATCTACCCTGGAATATACACTCCCTCCAAGCTCCCCCTATCAGATACCCGATACAAGGAGTCACTTCCACCGAAAGAAATGCCCCGTTTGACGACAACCATTTGAAGATCCAGAAACGTGCCAAAAGACCACATAGTCTTGACTTCAACGCCACGGGTCAACTTGACTATTGCGGCTTGGCGATCCTGAAGCGTGCCAAAGACCCATTCCTGGGGACTGCAACGCCGCGGATCAGCGTAACTGGTGCGCCCTGACAATCTGGACTCGTTCCAAAATATGACATTTGATACGAAAAACCCTGAGAGCTTGTAAACTCTAACTTTTCAAAACAAATGTGCGCGGCGCTAAGGCGAACACCACATTTTGAAAACCACCTGTCCTCAACCCGTGAAGCTCTTGCATTTGTTGAACGAATGTGCGCGGCGCTGACGCGAGAACCACATTTGAAAACGACGCGCCCTCAATCAGGGAAGCTCTTGCAAAGTCTTAGAGCGAATGTGCGCGGCGCTAAAGCGAAAACCACATGTTGAAAACCAGCTCTGTGAAACTCTTGCATTTTAAACGAGTGCGCGCGGTCCGAGAGCCGAATTGAAAACGACGCGTCCTCAATCCATGTGACTACCTACCAGACCACCCCAACCCAACCCGAAGACCCGAATTTCGGGCTGGGGGGGGGGTAAGGGTTCCACATGTGTTTTTTCGATGTTTCCCGACCCCCCCCCACTGGAAATTGAGGGTAAATCTGAGCCTTCGGGTTGGGTTGGGGTGGTTTGGTGGGTGGTGACCAGGAAGCCCTTGCAAAAGTTTGAATCGAATGTACGCGGCGCTAAAGCAAGGGACACATTTTGGGAGTGACCCGCCCTCCATCTGCGAAGCCATTACCATTATCCAAGATTCAGCCTCATAAGTGGTGAGAAATCTCAAGCAAAACGCCCAGCCCGCTCTTCCGACTGGCTTTGGGGTGCGATAGGGAGGCGTTATGCAGAAGGAAAATGGAGGACGAGGAGGAGGAGGAGGAGGAGGAGGAGGAGGAGGAGGAGGAGGAGGAGGAGGAGGAGAAGGAGCCTCCCTCCCCACACCACCGTTCGAGCGGAGCCGCAAGCGGGGCAAGCGCGGCGGGGGCCGGTCCTGGCCCGGCTCGCGCAGGCGCAGCACCCGCCGCTGTGCCTCTCGTCTTTTTTTGCTGGGGGGTCGGAAGGGGGAGGGCGGCGGTGGTGCTGGCAGGGGTAGCAGGACGGGTGAACGGGAGGTGGAGGTTCGACGCCTGAAGAGGAAGGGTCCAGGGGGGAGAGGAAAACAACTTGGGGTGGGGTGCAGATCGAAAGAATTCGTAACCCTGCTGAAGGTTCCGTCCCCACGGTCCGGCCGCTGCACTCGCCGCTGCGCCTCTCGCCTTTTTTGTTTGGGGGTCGAAGGGGGGCGGTGGTGCTGGCAGGGGGGGCGGAGGGTGTGAACGGGAGGGTGCCTTGGATTGGACACTTCGAGAGGCAAGGCTGGGCCTTCCAACGACGAAAATTGGAGAGCAGGCCCAGCACCGCCCAGCGGCGTAGGGCCCCCCATCAACCAACATGCCAGAAAAGCCAACCTCGAGAGTGAATGGTAGGGGGAGGAAGCGGGGAGCAGGAGAAGGAGACGGCGGAAAAGGGGGCAGGGGGTGAGAGGGTGAGGAGAGGGGCTCTGGGAGAAACGGGGAGAAGAGGAGGAGGAGGAGGAGGAGGAGGAGGAGGAGCAGGAGGAGGAGGAGGAGGAGGGGGGGGACGAGGAGGAGGAATGTGTGTATGTGTGTGGGTGAGTGAGGGAAGGAAAACGAGGATGAAGCGGAGGTGGGGGGAATGGGGAAGGGGAGCCTGCAAGCGGAATATGCAGTAACAGGAAGAGGAAAAGGAGGTGGAGGAGGAGGAGGACGAAATGGATGACGACAAGGGGACGCCGATGATTATGATGATGATGGTGATGATGATGACGACGATGATGCTGAGGACGTTGGTGAGGTGAGAGGTGGTGCATGGGGATCGAGTTCGAGGAGGAAGAAGGATCAGGACAAGGCCAGCGAAGAGCGAAAGAGGGGTATGTCGAGGGGACGTTGGGCCGTTGGGCGAGCGGGAGCTGAGTGGAGGAGAGAGAGAGAGAGAGAGAGAGAAAGAGAGAGAGAGAGAGAGGGCGGGGCAAACCACGTGCGCTCGCGCCAATTGTGACTGCCAACCCTCCAGCCCATCCCTTCCCACTGTGATGTGTGTTTCTTTATCCGCGGACGCGTGTCATAGCGGACATGGACCTCCAAAAAAGGCCCCATCGTGTTGTGCGCAATCGGCAAAGGGAGCAGCGTACAGAGGAGGACGAAGAGAAAGAGAAGGAAGAGGAGAAGGAGAAGGAGAAGGAGAAGGACCACTGTAAATCCAAGACTCATCAATGATGTTGATCTTCACCCTCCCGCTAATCATCGGACCCTACAAATATTTAGTTCCATTGAAGGAATTGCCAAGGTCAAAAGACAACCGTGAGAACATCGTGAAGCGTACCACAAGACAATTCCCAAGACATCCACGCTACGATTCTGCGTGGACTGTCACGTCTTGGCGATCCTGAACCGTGCCAGAGCACCGTTCCTGGGACCTCAACACCGCGAATCAACGTAACTGTTGCGCCCTGACAATCCTGAACCGTTACAGAACGCCATTTGTGGTACGTTAACCATGATCACCCATAACGCCTTTCAAACTGTGCACAACGAATGTGCGCGCCGCCGAAGCGAACACCACATTTTCAAAACAAGCCGCCCTCAATTCGTGAATCTCTTGCAAATGTTTGAAACGAACGTGCGCGGCGTCAGGGCGAGAACCACATTTTGAAAACGAGCCGCCCTCAATCCGTGAGGCTCTTGCAACTTGTTGAAACGAATGTGCACGGCGCTAAGGCGAGAACCACATTTGAAAACCACCCGCCGTCAATCTGCGAAAGTATGGCAAATATTCGAAACGAGTGTGCGCGGCGCTGATTCGCGAGCCACGTTTTGAAAACGACCCCGCCTCAATCTGTGAAGCCCCTGCAACTTTTTAAAGCGAATGTGCGCGGCACTGAAGCGAGAACCACATATTGAAAACCACCTTTACGCAACCCGTGAAGTTCTGGCAATGTTTTGCAACACATGTCCGCGGCGCTACGGCGAGAGTCGCATGTTGAAAACGACCCGCCCTCAATGCGTGAAACTCTTGCGTTTTCAAACGAATGTACGCGTCGACAGGGCAAGACCCGCATTTTGAAAACGACCCATCCTCAATGTGTGAAACTCGTTTCAATGTTCAAGCATCAGGGTCATAAGCGGTATGGAAGTCTTAGGCGCAACGCCCGGCCAGCCCTGCAGACTGGCCTCGGGGTGCGACAGGGAAGAGATATCTATAAGGAGGAGGAATGGAGGAGGAGGAGGAGGAGGAGGAGGAGGAGGAGGCGGAGGAGGAGGAGGGGGAGGAGGAGGAGGAGGAGGCAGAGGCGGATGGGCAAGAGGAAAAAAACATGAGGACGGAGAAGGGCGAGGATGAACAGCAGCAGCAGGAACAGTCATAGAGGGAGAGGGAGAAGCAGGAGGACCAGGGGAAGGTGGAGGAGGGGAAAGGAGGGGGGCGACAACGATGCGGAAGGACTCGAATCCAGAAACAAGGACCCGCGCTGGGGCGAGAGCGCCATTCTGAATGACTGACGGTGCAACCACGGGCCAGGGGCACACAGAACACTGACAGGCAATCATCGGGATAACATTTTCAAGACTGCCCAGGAAAAATATATACCCGGCGGCTATGTGTAACGCTCTCGCCACAGGTATGATGGAAACATTTCTGTCTGCGTGTGCTGCCACCGACAGCAATTACTACGATTCCGACCAGGAAGGTAAGGAAAACAGCAAAGCAGCTGGTGACCACAAAAACGTGGATCCCTCTCCATTCCATGTGACGCTGGAAGGTAAATTCCGGGAAGCTCCTGATTTCGCGGGCTGGCGTAGTGAGCGTCCTAAAAGGACTCCCGAGTCCCATCGTTGGCCTCCCCCCTCTTCCTCCCCGTCCTCTCCCACCCCCCCCGCCGCCGAAGGAGGCCAGGCCGCTGCCGATACGGCAACGCCCGCTGCCCAGCCCGCTGAGCCCCACGAGGCCAGGCCCGTCGCCATGTTCGACGAGGATGACCCCCGTTTCCTTTTTCCTTGCCCCACCTGCTCTTAGGAGAGATGCGAGGCACACGCCTGGAGCGGAAGCTTTTCTCGCCTCCGCCTCCTCCCCCGCCTCCTCCTCCCGTCCTCAACGAGGCCCAGAGGGCTCGAACCGCTGTCAGTCGAGCCGAGGCCTGGGCAATGCACCGCCGAAGGGTGGCGCCCTGGCCCCTCACGCCCATCCTGTGGCCAGAAAGAGACTTGTGAATGCATCTCCAGGGGTTTTCCTCGTGCTTTCGCCCTCGCATTTGCTTTTTCACGTAGCACCCCGCAGTTGCGGATAAGAGTGAGGGGGCGGCGGGTACGTCGGCAGTCTGCGAGGGTCTGAAGAAGCCCGCCGCAGGCGCAGAAGTTTTCAAGCTATGAAACGAGCCCGCCACAGGAGCCGATTTTTCTGTTAGAACAATGTGGGTGGGTCACTGGTTGGGTCGCAGGTGGGTCGACGGAGCCAGGTCGCGGGGGTGGGTCGCACGTGGGTCGCGGGTGGGTCGCTGGGTGGGTCGCGGTTGGGTCTTGGGTGGGTCGCGGGGTTGGTTGCGGGTGGGGTCGCGGGTGGGAAGACGACAACAAACAACAACAACATCGCAACAAGCAGCCCCCACCACGGATTCTCACTTTAGCGATGCACCCAGGGACATCGGCAGTCTGCGAAGCTCTGAAGAAGCCCGCCGCAGGCGCAGACGTTTTGAAGCTGCAAAACAAGCCCGCCGCAAACGCCAATTTTTTGTTTAAAAACTGTGGGTGGGTCATGGGTTGGGTCGCAGGTGGATCGCGGGTGGGTCGCTGGGTGGGTCGCGGGTGGGTCGCTGGGCGGGTCGCGGGTGGGTCGCGGGTGGGTCGCGGTTGGGTCGCGGGTGGGTCGCGGGTGGGTTGCGGGTGGGTCGCGGGTGGGCCGCGGGGTGGGTCTCGGGTGGGCCGCGTGTGGGACGACGACAACGAAGAACAACGACAACAACCATTATAATACTGTTCGCTCTTACTTGCCCGCGTGTCATTCAAAATGAATCCCCCACAACCTCGATACCCGCCCTTGTTGTTTTCGATCACACCCCCTTTGGGGGGATTCTTTCTCTTTGCGGGGGGCGACGGGCTGAGACAGGCGGGCGAACCTGATCGGGCGGACAATCCTTCGTGGGCGTACATGTGCCCGCCATTGGAATTGGTGTGGGCCCTGCAAAAAAAAAGGAAGGGGAGAACGAGGGAGAGTGGGAGGAATGGAGGGGGAGGGACGAAGAAAGAGGGGACACGCCAGGAGAGAAGGAGCGAAGAGGGGGGCGGTTGATTAGAGGCAGAGAGAGAGAGAGAGAGAGAGAGAGAGAGAGAGAGAGAGAGAAAGAGAGAGAGCCAGAGAAAGAGAGAGAGAGAGATAGATAAAGACAGATAAGAGAGGTAGAGACAAAAAGAAAGAGAGAGGGGAGAGAGAGAGAGAGAGAGAGAGAGAAAAAAAAAAAAAAGAAAAAAAAAAAAGAAAGAGACAGAAAGAGGGAGGGAGGAGGCAGGAGAGGGGAGGGACAAGGGAGGTGGGAGAGGAGGGAGAGGGGATAGGGCAGAGAGGCATCAGGGTGAGGGAAGAAAGGAGGGAGAGAGAAGGGAGGAGAGGAGGGAGGAGGGAGGAGGGAGAGGGAGGAGGAGCAGGAAGGTAAGAGCGTGAACGTTTGAGGAAGTCCTAAGTGAAAGCGCCATTCCTGAAGGATGTCTCGGGCGGGAGCCCACGACGGGCGGGCGATCCCCTGACGGGCGGGTCGGGCGGGTGGGACATTCAAGCGGGATGCCTGAGTATGGCGAGAGCGCGAATGCTAAGTAAATTGTAACGGCGTCCTTGGCGCAGCGTGTTTCCTGAGCGTCGGAAGCGCGATTCCTGAATAAAGTGGCGAGAGCGCAATTCCTGAATAAAGTGTAAAGGGTTCTCTGCCGGGAGCGGGGGTCTTGAATAAATTGCGAGGAAGTCTTGCTTCAATTGCGAGGAAGTCTC